TGGGAAGATGTTACACTCTGCTGCCCTCCCCCACCCCCCGTTTGGGGGCTAATAGTTCAGGGCTTGGTTGGAAGAGGTACTGAGCCCCTGCCTCAGTGTTAGAGCCGGGGTGGCCAGTCTGGCGGGGTGAGTGGACTAGAGACTGGAGTGGGCGAGGACACCCCACCCTAGCTCGAGTCAGAACCCATGGGCTCTGACCGCTTGCTGGAACCAGGAAGGTGTCCTCTGGGCTTGGCCCCAGAAGGAGCAGGCAGCTGTGAAGGGGGCTGGACAGGCTTTGAGTGGGGGGTGGGAAGGTGTCAGAGTGGGGGGTAGGGGGGAATTCATGAGTGGGGGCAGTGGGGTGTCCGTGAGTGGGGGTAATGGGACATTCATTATTGGGGCTTGGGTGAAGGGCAGTGGGGCGTCCATGGATGGAAGGGTATTGGGGCATCTGTGAGTAGGGTGCAGGGGGACGTCCAGGAGTGAGGGGCAGTAAGATGTCTGTGGGTGGGGGGCAGTGTGTGGCAGTGGGGTATCCGTGGGTGACGTCCAGGAGTGAGGGGCAGTGAGATGTCTGTGGGTGGGGGGCAGTGTGTGGCAGTGGGGTATCCGTGGGTGGGGGTAAGAACCAGGTGAAGCTGGTGCTCCTTGGAGGCTAGTTTGAGGGACGTGGTTTGGGGAACTGCTCCCCACTAAGGGTCTGGGGAGTGGGGGGTGAGTGGGGGTGGGTGGGTCTGCCTGCATGGGTCAGGGTTGTCCTTTAGAGAGGAGGTGGTCTGTCTCACCCCTGCCCGCCCTGTGCTCCCAAAGTGCCCTTTGAAGAAGTGCTAGGAGAGACTCAGGGCCAGGAGTCGGGGAGCTGAGGGCCTGGGCGGGGCAAGTCAGTTTCATTTGTGAGCGGAGTCTGACAGACACGCCCTGTAAAACAGCAGGCTGGTCCATGGCGGTGACACAGATGCTGTGACCGAGCGGGTAGGGGGAGGGTCGATGACACACTGTGACTGTACCGGCCAGACGGGCCTTGCTGGACACGGTCTTCCTGCTCGACCCCTGCTCTGGTCCAGCCCCCACTGACACTGTCTCTCCCCACAGCCCCGTGCCGCCCCTGCAGCGACACCGAGGTGCTCCTGGCTGTGTGCACCAGCGACTTCGGTGAGTGTCGGCCCCGTTCCTGTTCCTGCCATGGGGCCTCCCGGGTCACATGTGGAGCCACTTTGGCCCCAGGCCCAGCACAGGCTCTGCCCTGTGGGAAGGAGGCAGGCAGCCGAGGCCCCAGCCCTCTTGCCTTTGCCCTGTCCACCACCCAGGGCAGAGGTTGAGAGGGGCTCTTCCTCCTGGGCACTGAGGGGGTTCTCCTGTCCCAGGGGTGAGGACTCTGCACACGTGTGTACATGCACACACTCACACGTGTGAACGTGTAGAAGCATGCACACGCTGTACACATATTCATCCGCATGCATGCCTGGACACATGCCAATATGCAGGCACACAGACACATGGGAACGCAAATTCACAGACATAGACACACAGGTTTCAAGTTTGCGCACACATGCAGATATGCAGGCACCTGTGCACACCAGCGTGTACACACATGCCCCCGCACATAGCTGTACATGCATGTGTGGCGCGTGCACTCACCCAAGAAATATTCGCAGCAGCCACCCTCTGCAGACGAAGCTGCTGCCCTGTGACGCCTGCAGCAGAGGGCTTGGCGAGGTCTTCTCTCGGGAAGTGCTTTATAAACATCCCTGTCAGCGGCCTGGGGGTCACTGGCAACCGGGGAGCAGGGCTCCCCTCCTTGGCCAAGGCCCTGGCCAGGGGCTGGCTGGAGTGCTGAGGTTGGTGGGCTTCGAGGCCAGGGCCAAAGGACACCCCCCAGTCCCCCATGTGTGATGTTTGCATAGATCCCCCACCAGTCAGTGCCCAGCGCACCCCCCTCCACTGTGTCCCCGCCAGCACTCCCCGCCGCACAGCCGCTGTCCAGCACTGCCCTGGCCACCAAGTCATGGCCATGACCCTCCCCACAGCCCAGGGATGGCTTGTTGCTCGCTGCTCCCCCGGGGCCCTGGCTACTGCCCTCCCTGTACATGACCCTCCCTCCCTACTCACATGGGACTCTCCCTGCTGTGGCTCATGCTGTCCTCACCCCTTCCTGCCTGGGCCACCCCACAGCACTGCCTGTCCCTGTCCCTGTCCTGGCCATGACCATTCCCAGCACTGCCTGCTCTTTGCATGGCCCTCCCCCCATGTGGCCCTTGCCATACCATGATACACCTGTCTCCCAGCACTGCCCCCCAGGCCTGGCCTTCCCCTTAAATGTGCCCCCCCCCCACAAGCGTGCTCCCCTCTGCACAATGTGTTGGCTGTGTTGCTGCTCCCAGGAAGCCATGAACCTGTGCCTGGTGTGCTTTGTCTCCTCAATGTGGCGGCCCTGCCGTGGCCCCTGTGTGTGACATCCAACCTTGGTCCCCATGTGTGACTTCCATGCGTGGTGGGTTGGCCCTGACACCTCTGTGCCTGTGAGCGGCACTTGGGAGCACTGGGTCAGACCAATGCCCATTAGTATTGGGCAGCCATGTTGTGCGTTGGCCTCAGGTGGTAGCCAGGAATCCTGCTGACCGTCTCTGTGTTCTTCCCCACAGTCGTCCGAGGCTCCATCCAGGATGTCACCCATGAGCCAAAGCAGCAGGAGTCAGCGATCCACCTGCAGGTGAGCAGGCTGTACCGGCAGAAGAGCAGGATTTTCCGGCCGGACCCTGCGGGTGGTGGACACTGGCGGGGCCATATCAAGACTCTGCTCGAGTGTGGTGTGCGGCCTGGGCACGGGGACTTCCTCTTCACTGGCCAGATGCACTTTGGGGAGGCCCGACTTGGCTGTGCCCCACGGTTCCAAGACTTTCAGAGGGCATATCGGGACGCTGAGGCCAAGGGACTGAACCCGTGTGAGATTGGCATGGAGTGAGAGCTTCTGGGCCACGCTGCCCACCACACACCACTGACCACGGAAGCCCCCGAGTCCCGGGCAGCTGCCCAGCAGGGATGCCCGTGAGGACACCTGTGGGGACCTCCTCTGGGGGTGTCCAGCGAGCCACTTGGTGTGGACGCCCCAGGGACATCGGCCTGGCCTGGTGCCCGGGCTTATGGAGGAGCTCCGAGAGCTGGCAGAGCATGCCGGGACTGTAAATGCTGTAAATGCTAACTAAGTTATTATATTTTAAGGACGTGGCGTGGGGACACTCTGTGTCAGACTGCTGCTGTGCCGGCCGGGTGCAGGGTCGGCCGAGCAGGCTCAAGATGGTCCCGTGGGCGCGGTGGGAGCCCAGGCCCCACGCGAGGGTGTTTCTGTGACAGAAACGTACACAGCCAAATACGTGTGTTTTGTTCTAAAGAACGTTCTGTGCCACCACTTGGGCTGGCAGTCATGTCTGTTCCAGAGAAATTAAAGCCCTGACTGGACCTAGCTCGTGCAGTGCTCTGAGGGGCCCGCAGGTGCTGGTGGATCAGTGTGGCGGGGAGCTATACCCTCCCTGTCCTGGCCTCAGGACCTGTCTACCCCACCCCTATGCCTCCGTGCTGCTGCTGCTGCCCAGGAGCGCGCAGGGAGAGCTCTGGTGTGCCAGGCCCAACCTACCGCAGTGCGCAGCAGGTGCTCACGGGCGAGAATTGCGCAGCAGGAAGGGCCACGAGTGGGCGGGGTTGGTGGGCGTGGCCACAGGTGGTGTGGTTACTGATGGGGCTGGCATAGATGGGTGTGGCCACAGGTGGGGCTGACGTGGGTGGGTGTGGCTCCAGGTGAGGCTGGCTGCAGATGAAGGGATATGGCACAGGCATGGGCATAGGTGGGCAGAGTTACAGGTGAAGTGAGCACAGGGAGTCAGTCCCATGTGGCTTGTGCCTGAAGCCTTGCGCAGGAGCAAGTGGGACCTTCAAGCCCTGCTGAGCTTTTGAGTACAGCTTCCACTGGGCTGGGCTGAGGCCTGGGCTTCCGTGGGGTCAGCGAGCTCTGCAGAGCAGCATCCTGAGGACCTTTGGCCTCCAAAGGCTCCTGCTGGGGTGAGAGAGGCATGGGGTCAACTGTGAACGCTCATCTGGGGTCCAAGAGGAAGTTGGTGGGAGGGGGCGCGGTCCTGGGATCCAGGGATGCCGGCCTCCTCATCCTGAGCCACGGGCAATTGTTGGCGCCTGAGACTGCTTCTGTCTGCCGGATGGTCCTGCAGGAGGGAAGCTGCCTCTTCCATGCTGGCATAGTGACTGCCTGCGGCTGCCCCAGGAGAGTCCCATGGGTGGAGAGGCCCCTCAGGCTGCAGCTGGTGCAAGGGTTTCATCCACTGAATTCGGCGCTTTCACTGTTAGTGACCAACCGTTGGAGCTGGTTAATCGGCCTTGAGGTAGGATCTGGCCTGCTGACTGCCCACAGAGGTGGGCTGGCTGCATGGTGGTCGCAGTGTGCTGGGGATGTGGGCCTGCTGCTGGTGGGGACTTGGTGAGCCAGGCACCCTGTGTCTGGAGCAGGCGCCCAGCGTGACTCTGCTGCTGGAAAGGGGCCCTGGCCCGCCAGGCACACCACTCTTCCCGCTGTGTCGCGTCCACTGGCAGGAGGGCCGATGCAGCCCACGCTGTGGGGGATGGAGGTCCTGTTTGCAGAAGCACTGTGCTTGTCCGGCCCTGTTTCCTTCCTCGTGAAAATGACCACAGAGAAGATGAAAATGTCAACAAACAACAAAGCACCACTCGGCGCGGGCCCTCAGGGAGAGGGGAGCAGGCCTGGGTTGCAGGGTGTGGGGAGGAAAAGACCGAGAACAGGGTCTTTGCACCAGAAAGGTGCCTCTGTGTCTGTGTGAGCGTGTGTGTGCCCATGCATCTCTGTGTCTGTGTGAGCGTGTGTGTGTGCCCATGCATATCTGTGTCTGAGCGTGTGTGTGCCCATGCACCTGTGTCTGTGTGAGCGTGTGTGTGCCCATGCATATCTGTGTCTGAGCGTGTGTGCCCATGCACCTGTGTCTGTGTGAGCGTGTGTGTGCCCATGCATCTCTGTGTCTGTGTGAGTGTGTGTGTGCCCATGCATATCTGTGTCTGAGCGTGCGTGTGCCCATGCATCTCTGTGTCTGTGTGAGCGTGTGTGTGCCCATGCATCTCTGTCTATGAGAGCGCGTGTGTGCCCATGCATCTCTGTGTCTACGAGAGCGCGTGTGTGCCCATGCATCTCTGTGTCTACGAGAGCGTGCGTGTGCCCACGCATCTCTGTGTCTATGAGAGCGTGCGTGTGCCCACGCATCTCTGTGTCTGTGTGAGCA